TATCAAACACAATGCATCCCTTTAGATTTTATAGTACCCTGTGCCCCAGGTGCTGTTGTTATCAGTCCTGACATCATTCATTCAATATGATGGGCCCTGTCTTTCCATTTATCTGTAATGGACAGGAGACTTTGAATCATTTTATCTTGCAAGCACAGCAACATGTTTTCTTTAAAAAGTGTCTTTTCTCTCTCACCGTTTCTTGTTTTCTTCCTTGTCTAATATCTTGTGCATTACATTTATCCCGCAATCTTTTTACTCTGAACTACTTCTTCCCTTTTGTTTTGTTTTTCCTGCCTGTCTACCTTTTTCTCTCTCTCTTCCTCCCACCCCTCCCATTTTTGCACCTGTGCAGGGCACTGGTGCAGGCTTATTGCAATCAACTGAAAGGTTCCATTGACCTTATTGAGCCTTAGGTTAGGACCAGGTAGCATCTCTCCATCCATACACATGGCTCGTGCAGAATTTAGTGCAGTATCTGAGGTTACCTTGCCCTCAAAGCCAAGCAGGCTTAAGAATAAGACAACAAAGAAAACACATTGTTAGTAAAACTTAATGTCAGGCTTTGAGGTACAAGATTAAAAGCAAGGTCTTACAAGTGCAAACAGGTTTAAAATACAATTCTATCTTAAACTGAACAAGTCTATTCTTTAGCTATGCAATCTCTTCCTCATTAACTCCCTGTGAGGTGTCCCTGCCTTCCGAGCCAGAGTGTAATGCTTCAGTTAGAAGTGCAGTTACCTCCGGTGGGTTCAGAAGGGGAATCTCAACCTGATCTTTCTGTCTGTGGTGTATCGACTTCAGATGCCAGCGATCCAGTTTTCATAGAGTAGTTCTCCTACATGACTACTTGCATTTATACATCTTTAGAGCTGAGGACTGCATAGAAATAGGAATATTCTTGGTGGCATATAATGATGATATTCGAAGCTAGCAGTCACCAACAAATTCATCTAAGGATGAATTTACTCTGCTTGGATCTAGTCACGAGTCATCTTTTCTCCAGGGACTGGATGGCTTGAATGTTTTGGTTTTATTCAGCTTACTGGACTACGTGGCACTATTGGAGTACATCTGAAGGACAAACCGCCCAAGTGTCTCTTTCCTCGGGCAACAGTAAGTGCTGAACGCCTTGCCCTGTATCATTGTGACAGTCAGTGTTTTCTGGCCACATCCATTTAGAAAAGTTTGGTTAGTAAGGATCAGAGGATCTCTTCTTCACCAGCTCCATAGCTTCTCTTGAGTCATTCTACAGATACCTACAGAAATACTACTAGGGTCTGCCTGGAGAAGGTGAAATGTGTTTGTTTCATCTCCTTTTGCTGTGCTCCACTTGGTAGCCGTGCACTGCCCCAGAGACCACTAATAGCTATCCCATAGGCTCATACACATCAAAGAATGTCCTGACTGTATAAAGGTAGAAGAGGAGGCAGAGCTGTAACAAAAGCATTAGGCTTGTGATCGAGAGAAATGCAGTTTGTTTTGCATATATCTGGGTAATGCATCTGGGTTGAAGATAACAAACAGCGGAATTACAGGTAATCTGTATAGAGACACAAAGGTGGGTTTTTCTTTACTTATTGGAATTCTTTTTGGCAAATGTTTTCATAATTTCCTTTGAGCTCCTACTAGTCCCATTCAAGGTGGCAGGTAGTCTTGCTAATGCTGCAAAGGTGAAAAGACACATAAAACATTTAAAGCAAATATAATAGCTTGGAACTGTGTTGTAAGAAATGCCTTTGATTTGAGCAGTTAATTTCATTAAATCCTGCCAAACATTCAAAGCCAGTCTCGGCTTCCCAGTCCCTTTATTTGCTATCAGCGCTTGAGATCAGCTTAATATTTTACCTTCACCCTTGGTTGCAGAGCATAATGGACAAAACCATTATCTGTGAATGTCATCGCTATTAGGGAAGAGAGAGAAGAAAGGAAGGGATAAGGGGGAACAGGGCTGGCGGGGAGCTGGTATCTACAAAAGTAAACAGAGTTTAACAGTATGGTGGGAGGAGGGAGCGGGATGGGACAAATCAGCCTCTCATAATTTAATTGAAGTTCTGCATCTCCTTAAGAGCTGTGGATACAAGCTGCTAGGCTGAGGGGATAATATTTAAAGGTCATTTAAAAGAGCAGAGATGTTAATCGTTGAAAGGACAAACCTGAACTTTGTCTCCCAGCTCTCGTCTACATGCGGAGACGTTACCTTCCTTCCCTGCAGTAAATAAGAGCTTTCAAATTATTGTTTTAGAGTTATATTACACTTACTAAATACTAAGCAAGCAGCAGCATCTGTGAACTGCAGGGGGAGGGATTGGCTTGTCATAGGGTCACCTCTAAGAAAAGTCACAATTTGTATCAGAGCAACAGAGCTGGTAAATTGTATTATGGACAGAGTGAAATCTGTTGAAAGAGTGAGGGTGCTGTGAACCACAGTGATGTTGGCATGTTGTGTGGAAACTGTGCTTATGTATGAGTAATGCATTGCAGTCCGTGGGCCACAGCAGAACCCGATTCTGCAGTAGGAAACACCGGTGCCTTGTCACACCATCTACTTGGCTTTAATGTGTGTTAATAGAGTTGATTAGGAGTTTTTCTTACATGCTTTTCTAACACATTGTGGGATTTCTTTGTATGTTCTGAAGAAATAAGGAAATTTTTTACAGAGGCTTTTAGTTTAGTGTAAGAAATAGTGAAATAAAAATGGAGCTTGGGGTTGGTTTGACATTAATCTCTGTATTTACTGAATCCTTTTAAGATTAGTTTTCAGTTGTCATGTTTCTACTCCCCTGCAGGTTTGGCTTTGTATGTTGGACTCTTCCAGCATGTACCAAGGCATTTTAGCAGAGGGACGAGTGAGGATGGTTTGAGTAGACATAAACTAGTGTCAATCCCAACAGGAGAGGTGGGGGAAATAGGTTGTTTTTGGGGGTGACTTTTTGTGAGCAATGACAATGTTGAAAAAGTATTTCTGTAGGTCTGAAATAACAAGACTTTTTTTTTTTCTTGATGTTACATTGAAGTATGAGAATAAAAGTCCAGCTATCATTCTTTCCCTCAGAATGCAAATTCTGTTGTTATTTTCAATTAGTTGCGCTCCCTCATATACCTGTGGTGCAGGAAGGCATCACAGGCTTATGTCAAGGAACTGTTTGGGTCTTATTTTTTCACTAGTCACACTGGGGAAAGATGAGTTGCTGAATGCAACCCAATGACTCTATACGTGGGGTTGTACCTGTTGAAAGGAAGCCATGTAAGCACACAAGTTCTTGGCAGAAATACAGCTGCTAATCTTAGTTGAGCAGCTGTTGTCCTGAAGATCAGGAGAGGTGAGCCTAAAAGTAACTCTATCTGAAGAGCCTTTAAGAAACATAACAGAAGTTGTCATGTTTTCACGTAGAATTTTTGGCAGAAGCATCACAGCAGCATTTGCCAACTTCCCATGTGTTAGCTATGGCTAATGTTTTCCGATTCGCTGAATGAGTAACATGGGAACTATGGATTATGAGAAAAGAAGGGAATTCAGATAACAGTGAAACTAGAGTAAACTTGGAATGGATCTTGTGATGTTGCCAGAAACCCCAAGATGGCATCAGAGACCTTGCTTTTCTACATTAAAAATGTATGAAATATTCTTAGTGACTCTTATTATTTCTTTGTCTTCCGTTCTTAACTGGTTCTCCGTTGTTCATACTTTTTTTTTTAAGCATTCCTGCTTTACGACCCTTTTCTTCAAGCATCATTTGCAAGGCATTGATAATGCCAAAGGTGCTACATGCAACACACCCTAGCCGCAGTGCAAGGCTCTGCCAATACAACAACAGACCACATCCCCAGGAATACATTTGTACTTTATTTTGTTCTAGGAGTCTGCAACAGCGAAGCTGGATGCAACTCCGCAGCTAGAAATTCACCCAACACTTAGGATTTTCTTTTTTTTTCTTTTTTTTCTTTTTTTCTTTTTTTTCTTTTTTTTTTTTTTTTTTTTTTTTAGCACAAGCCAGCCCAAGTTTACAATGCCACCAGAAGCATTCTAGTGCTGAACTGGATAGTAGGGAGATGATAAGGACTTGCCACACTCTCTCATATGCTGGAGGGTTAATTCCTGAATTTTATCAGCACACCACGATTTGAAAACTGTGAACCAAATAATAGCAAATCCCGTGAGGAGTGTGAGAAGGCTCTGATCCACACATGGTCACTAACAAGGGAGATTAGTTGCATTTTGCAAAATTGTACAGATATACTGCTCCATACGGTCAAGTATCCTGCACAATCTTCCACTGATCACTGAGTCAGTAACAGAATATGTTCAAGCCAACTAAGGGAAACATTTTCTCAGTGCAAATCTGGGATCCTTATTTAGCTTTTTATTCAGCCTTTGCAGTGAAGCTAGGTAAGTGTTCTAAATAATGATATAGCATGCATCAAGATCTTTCTGATGTGCTTTAGACAGCTGCATTTCTTGTGAGTGGAGAAGCTTAAATGAGATATCCAGCTCATCTCATTTAAGTGCATTCATATTTCAGACTGGTTGAAGAGATTCGAGTGCCTGTCTTCAATTAGAATGAGTAGGAGTTGGATGTACTTGTTTGCTGTGGAGGTTTTGAGAAGCCCGTGCTCTATGTAAGCTTTCGGGCTTCATATGGTGAATTTCGTAGATAGCACAGCATTTAGAACACTTTGGAACGTTTCAGAAGACTTTTTGTTTGTAAGTAGTATTTTGATTTGTACATACTTAAGTAAAGGAAAAACTGCATTTACTTTCAAGACTGCAACTATGTGAACCTTGGAAGGAAAGGAAATTATAAAATTCATATACTATAAGCACCTTTGAAATGTAATACGGATGGACCGTTGGTTCATTCCAGACCAATGTTCAAAACCCTTATATCTGTGTTCTAACTGACATTCCCTGTCCTTGTGCCAGGGCTTGCCAGAAGCAGAAACTTTTTGGAATCAGCTGTTGTTTTGCTAGTTTATGATGTGTTGTTTTCTGGTTTCAGCCACCGTTGTTCGTTGAGTGGGGATGATCTGAACAGACAGTGGTTGACACCCAGTTCCCAGCTCCATCCAACTATTTACCACGCCAAAGGTCTTCTCTATTACCTGCACAGCATTGGCCGGGCTCCTCTGGTGAGTCTCTTCCAGGATCTTTTGTGAGTTACTGTATATGGATTGCTTACTGTAGTTGCATGAACAGTCTTGTTTTAGAGCTAGAGTGATTTGGAAAGCATCATGTTCTGTTACACTTTCATCTTACAGATGCGTTTTCAAAGTCTTGGATAGTTAATACTTACTGAATCTTCTAACCAACAACTCCAAATTCCAGAATCTCTGTATACCTGGAATATAAATGAGAAAATGAATTCCTTAAAGCTCTTCAATATCCTTGAAGTACTCCAGCTATGGTGAATATTATGAGTACGTTATTGATATCTTCATGGCAATGATAGGAGAAATTCCACAAAGACTTTAGTCTGAATGGACAGTGCAAAAGCCCATGATGGAACAACCCATGCAATCACAAAAACACAGGAAGCAGCCCTCAAAATGTCTGAACTTCCATGCTGCTTTGGTGATGGGAAGAAAATGGCTGGGTTTGGGGGAGGTACCAGAAATTCATGAGATGGGTCTCATCTCAAAGCTGCAGTTGGGATAGAGCTGGGATCCATCCCATCTGCTCAATCTTGTTGCCCAGCAGAATGAAAAGATAGTTCTGAGACCTCAGGAGAAAAACCACAGGGAGGTTCAAATGTTAATGAACAGATGTGGATGCACAGACTGGCAGGTTGGCTGCTGATAGGTACAGTCAGGCAGAAAAAGTCCAAAGACACAAATTTCCCTCTTGGTTTGATGAGAAAAACCCCAGACAAGGTGAAAATGTCTGTGAGCTTCTTTAAGTGAATTCTTGTGGGAATATGGTTTTTGGCTAAGACAACAGCCCTGAAGTTAAGTCTGCAGCCCAAGGAATATTGTGGAAACTCAACTCACAGTTGTGAATTTACTCACCAATCTTTTCCTTTGGGTCAGAGCAATGTGGGATCAATCTTGTTTTGCCCTGCTATTTGCTACCTGGCCTTATTTAATACATAACCATCCTTGTCATATCCAGGTGCATAAAGTTGAACATGCAGTCAGTGCAAGTTTTTATCATTGCTGAGTGAAGGGAGACTATTGATCCTATCATCTCCCTCACTCACAAGCTGCATGTCAGGCTTGGTAAACTGATTTCTTCTTTGCCTTTGAAGAGTACATTGATTTTAGTTTATACATACTCAAAAATGCCTTTTCCCTCCTCCAGAAGAGAGCTGGGTTTCTTCTTTTCTTTTTTTCTTTTTTTACCTCCAAGATGCCATGGAGCCAAGTTCACTGATAGCCAAATGATTTCTGTGAAGTGATTTGGTTTCATTTATCCTGGGATGCACAAGCAGTTTCTTCAAAGCAAAGAAAAGCTGCTTGAAGGAGAAAAGGAAAGAACTTTAAAGTTAACAGCCTTTCAAACCAAAGCCATTTTAATTGGTAACTTCTATAGACAACAGCCTCCTAAAAGTGCTTTTTTGTTTGTTTGTTTTAATTCTCTTGTTGGCTCTGGGAACCATAGTAAGACGAGGGACTGGATGCACTGTGGCATTGCAGCCCTCTGCTGCATGGGATCTCCTTTCGACTGAGAGCAGCAAAATGGGAACGTTGGAGACCTTTTGTCTGGGAGCAGCCAGGTCTGATGGGGAGAGGGAAGTTGCTCTCTCCTTGAGCTTTTGTGGTGAGAAACTGCTATGCTTTAAAAGTTATAGTTGACAATGCAGTTGCAGCATGCGACAGGGAACCTTCAGCTTGTACAGAGAGTCTGAGCTGCAGTGAAGAGCAGGAAGCCCTTGGAGGGGACAGAAAGAACCTCCTAAGGACCAGGAGGCACTGAGCAGGGTTTGCTGCCATTCAAAGGCATTATATCAAGCTTGGAAACAAGCATCTGCCTGCAAGGATGTAGCTCATTGTGAAGAAAAAACCCTAGCCATGTCTACCTCAAAATTCAGAGATTCAAAGTCATCTCACAACGCCACTAAGGAAAAAAAATGAGAATTTACCAAAAAAAGAAAAGAAATTTCAAAATGTTCTATTTTCCAACAGATTTTCTTGCTTTCTATTTTCTATTTTGCTTTTCCTTTATTTTAAAAGGTGCCTGGTTCTGTGACTCATGAGGAGGATTGGTTTTGAGTTAGAAAGCAGTCCTTACCTTTAGGATGATCAGTGTTGGCAAATAACTTTTATATAAAAATTTGCATGTGTGTCTTGAGTCATATCCCAGTGAGTGCAAGCCTTGAGAGTTTGACTTGTTTGTGTGCATCAGTGTCCCAGCCATATGGAAGGGCAGGCTGGAGAAAAAGGACTGGTAGGTCCCACGTTTGCTTAGTGTTTGCCCAGACATATGGCAGGAAGAACTGGGTGCTCAAACTACAAAAAATAACTTAGTGTTACTGGATGATGAAGCATAAGCTACCCTGTAGTGTGAATATGAGGCAGAAGAATATCTTATAAAGGACAATTGATTATAAACATTGGGAGTGACTGCAGTATCCAGCAAACTTAATTAAAATGCTGCTCTATGCAACTCGCAAATAGAATGAAATTATTTCCAGTAGCACTGACTCTACTGTGGAAGCTGGAGACAACCAGTGACAGATCCCACGGCCTGAAACAGCAGCAATATTACAGAACCTGGCTTTGATAATCCTTTACCAATACAGAAGTCTCATTCCAGACCTGTCCCTAGGGACTCTTCTGCAGGTTTCTTGAGGTGCAGAATTATAGACCTGCTACTGATCAGGCGGCCTAGCTATCCGACTATCTGATCATCCCCGTGTGGTTTCTGATAAGTAATATTTTAGGCAGATAATACATTGTGTCTTGTGTGTTGGTAATTCTGTAAATTGGCAGGTAATTGATACCCAATTGAGCTGGGTCCTCTGCCTTGAAATAAGACGAAAGCTCTAAAATCCTCTTTGATATTCATAGGAATAAATTCTAGGTGGTACCTGTGGTTAACCTAAACTATGACTCTGTATTGCTGATAGCTTAGATGAAACACTAGCTGGAAAAATGTTTGCCATTAAAAGAACCAATAGAAGCAGCTCCTTGGAGGGAGACATTACAGGATAATTGCACGTGGTTCAGACAGAGTTACTTCAACTGCAGGGGTTGCATAAGCCCTGCAAAATATGCACACAGCCTGAGGGGGCTGAATCTCTGGGGTCTGTGCAATATTGGCTTTTTTTTTCCTTTGGAATGATGCTGGTTGTAGGTCTGCACCAACGAGCAGCTCTCAGACTGCCCTGTTTGTCCTCCCCTTCCTGCCTTTGCCGGGTGGCAAGGGTATAAGTAAAACAAGAGCAGTTGTTGCTGGGTAGGTTGCTGTTCACATGCTTCAGGTGTGGAAAATGCGTGCCGCGGGGACGGCGACGTGCAGACCCAGAGTCCTGCAGAGAGAGCTGGAGGTGGGTGGTGGTGCAGGATGGAAAGTTGACAAGTCAGAAACCAAAAGAAGGAGCAGCGTATAAGCTATGATATGTATAATTGTCCAGCTAATTAGGAGGAGTAAGAAGGTTCTCTATGCGTGTGTGCCTTAGTCTCTCCAGCACGTCAACCTTCTGTTTGTCAGAGCAGCTGAAAGAATGTAAATGCTCAATTCCTAGATAATTAAACTCCCCTGACTTGCTGCAGCTAAACTTAGTTACTGTGTGGCTGGTAAATAAACACGCTATGGTAAATCTTGCCCTAACAGTTGGTGGAAGAAGCTCATCCGCTCCATCTGTTTCTCTCCTCTTGTATATGTATTTATGTAAGAATACGTGTATTTTTTTTACCCCATATTTCTCCCCCATCTCTCTTTAATACTGATCCATAATTCTTCCCTACCTTCCTACACCCATTCTTTTGTCTCCGACATGGGCCCTGGAAAACTCTTTCAAAGAAATCTTGAAGCTCCTTTCTACTCAGTGGTGAATATTGGTTTAAAATGAACCAATTCCTTCTCTTTAGAAATTCTTGTCTTTTCATTGATAGATTTATGAATATTCCTGATAAAGACATGGAGAATATATGTAACAGCAGTGTGTATATCGACTTCATATCTCAGAGGGCACGGAGATTGATTATTCCTTAAGACTTGGGTCAATATTTACCTCTTTGGTCATCAAATTGTGATTTTCATTTCTATAGGAGTCAATATTTGCCTATAAAGGCAATCAAAACTTCCGCTAAAACTGGGAATGTGCCTTGTGCCTAGTTTATATGACAGATGACATAAGAGAGATGGATTAGATAGATAGATTAGACAGCGTGGAAAGGGATTATTTACTGTGAAGATAGGTCGTGTTCTGTGCTTGGCTTCCAGGAATTCATGCAAAGATCTGACAGCACTGTGCAATACAGTTGCACAATTATATTTTCCTGAAAATTATGTAGCACAGGTTTTGAATTTAAACTAGCCAAAGTGATGATTAATTGCTTGGGAAAGCACAGATTTCAAATCTCATGAGGATAAAGCTGGAGTTTAGGAGTTTAGAAGTAGAAAGAGCCTGACAAATTGCTCTCTTGTATCATAAGTTACCATGAACCCTGAAGTTCCCGAGTTGCCATGGATTCTCACACAGGTGTCATGTTTATTTCTGCTGCAGACGGAAATGCACGAGTCTTGACTCTGGATCCCTGAGATCATGTCAGATTGAATAGATAAAGCAAGATACAACTGGCTAACAAAGTTTGACACAGGTTATAGGCATGGCACAGTCTAAGCTTCTGTATCAGAACTAGTGTGGCCAGCAAGAGCAGGGAAGTGATCGTGCCCCTGTACTCGGCACTGGTGAGGCCGCACCTCGAATACTGTGTTCAGTTTTGGGCCCCTCACTACAAGAAGGACGTTGAGGTGTTGGAACGTGTCCAGAGAAGGGCAACGAGGCTGGTGAGGGGTCTGGAGAACAAGTCTTCTGAGGAGCGGCTGAGGGAGCTGGGGTTGTTTAGCCTGGAGAAAAGGAGGCTGAGGGGAGAGCTCATCGCTCTCTACAACTCCCTGAAAGGAGGCTGTAGCGAGGTGGGGGTCGGTCTCTTCTCCCAAGTAACTGGCGAAAGGACGAGAGGAAATGGCCTCAAGTTGCGCCAGGGGAGGTTTAGATTGGATGTGAGGAAAAATTTCTTTACTGAAAGAGTAGTTAAACATTGGAACAGGCTGCCCAGGGAAGTGGTTGAGTCACCATCCCTGGAAGTATTTAAAAGACGGGTAGATGAGGCGCTTAGGGACATGGTTTAGTGGGTATGGTGTTGTTGGGTTGACGGTTGGACTCGATGATCTTGGAGGTCTCTTCCAACCTTTAATGATTCTATGATTCTATGATTCTATGATCTCCATCCCCGGAGACGCGTGCTGGTCCTGGACATTCTTATGGTGCTTATTATGAATAACCAGGAACCTTTTTCTTTTTCAACGTTCAAGATTTTTCCTTCACCCCTTCCCCTCTCCCTAGGTATTCTGTGACTACCATGGACACTCCCAGAAAAAGAATGTGTTTCTTTATGGCTGCAGCATCAAGGAGACCTGCAAGCAGGCTGCGTGGTTGACACAGCAGTTATCACAGAAGATGTTGGCTACAGGGTAGGTCCATTTTGTTCCTTCCTGCAATTACTGGTGTGTATGTGCACCTACGCAGCTAGTTAAATTAAGGCCAGCTCACAAATTTTGGAGACAGGTGCAAACTTCCCTTACTCCAGAGGAGTAATGGTCCAGAGAGTTTCAAATCATGCATAACACCTTCATGCACCAGATATTAACAAGAATATTGTCAGTAGGTGCGTCCCTATTTATTTCGTTTTAGTAAGATGCTGTGTTATAATCTTTGGCTACAGACTAATAGGACAGCCATATTTTTGTGTGTTTTATGGTTTCTAAATGCACATACGCCTTTGTCCCCTCGCCCCACCACAATAACAAAATAAACAGGAATTACATAATGGTAACTTAGAAAATGACAATGTGCCACTGCCCCACTCAGTTGAATTGCTTCATCACAAAATGCTCCTGGTCCCACTGAAGACACCAGAGAATTCAACGGGTGTCAAGCAGACAGATCTAACATAGTGGTGTTATCTCCACAACAAGTGCTTCGTGTCATAGCTAGGGAAATTTTTCTGGAATTAGAAAGAACAAACACTAAACAAATACTATTTCTTCTTCATGTGAATGTCTCGTTCATCAACCTGTTCTCTGGATTTCCTGCCCGTCTCTTTTTTGGTGTCTGTTTGGATGATATTTTCCTCTTAAATGATGAGTTTCTGTGGAAAAAAAGAATCTCATAAGCTCTAATTATAGTCTTAAAAAAATGTTAATTTCACAAAACATTAATTGTGGCCTTAAACTGATTAGAGAGGTATAGCTTGGGTTCACTCCAACCTGAAAGAGGTTGAAAAGTCTTTTTCAGTTTACGTCTCTAATTTTTGCTACTTCAGCACAAATACTAGTTATCCTCCTATAAGGATGCCACATCTTCTGTGTTCAACTTATGGCATTGTACACAGCACACTGAAACTTTACTGGAAGAAAGTGCTCCAGTGTCCATCGTGAGGGGTCCCTGTGGCAAACACCCTGTTTCACAAAGAAAGCGGGGAGGGTACTTACAGTCAGGGCATCTTTTGCTGTGTTTGAATTCAGAGGGCTTGAAAAGGCTGAGGCTGGTTCACTGTTACACAAACAGAATTCAAATGCTACTTTCAGCATCTGGAGCCTGTATTGAATCCGCAATGAAGAAAGCGGGAGCAAGGCTCCAAGGCTGTCCAAGAATACTCTACAGCCATCCTATAAGAAAGATTTTGTGGTTCAAATCCTCTCTTTTGGACAAAACGGGGGATAGGTGCCTGCTGCAGTTCCTGCCTATGGGTCACCCTCTTCCTTCTTAGGCTGGGGAAACTGGGTATATAGGAGAACGCATCTGCAATTGCAAACTGCAGCAGATAATCACCCCTGTCTCAGACCTGCTTCCTTGCACTGTTTGCACAGGTTTCTCTCCTGCCTCCTGTAGGTAGCTGGGGATTAATCTGGCCTCCATGACTGATTTTTTTCTCCCCAGGAGCAGGAACCAAATACCTCCAGAAAATGCTGTTTTTGGAACAGCCTTTGCCTCATAAGTCATAGACTCAGCTGTAGCCCTTGGCAATATACAGGAGTAAGAGTCTTCATTACCTTCTAATATTTGGTGGTCTTGGGTGACTTGCACAGCATTGGCATCGCGAAGCCTAGCTTGAAGATTTGTTCTTTTAATAGCCATTCCAAGCCCCTTTGACAGCAATCTTTGCAGGGACATCAGTAAAGAAATATAATTCCATTCTCTCCTAATGGAATTGGAGGTTTAAGGACAGGGTCCTGTGTGAGGGGAGTAGCTTCCTTTGCTGTTGTACATGCTAAATCCATCTGTGCGTAAGAAAGGGAACACAGTCACACTGCTGCATTATCATAAAAGCATCTTTTAAAAGGGTGTGTTTTCACCCTTTCAAAATATACTACTGAAAGATAATTAATGAGAAAAATAAGTAGAGAAGAAAGAACCAGCAGTGTGAAATCCAGTGAACGCTGGTAAAATGAAAAGAATATTAAATTCAGAGTTGCTAATGCTCCTGAATGAGTCCTGCGTACAAAGACATTACTGTTACAGGCCAGTGTTTTTATTTAATTAAATGTAAAAGATTGATTATGCATATAATTTCAATTGTTTTAAAAAGCTAAACTGGATTAGGGATCTGATTACTGTATTTGATAGTATATATTTACAAAAAAATCTGTGTGTTGGTTCAGTTAAGGGCAGAATGAAAACTATCTGAACCTTCACATACAGTTTAACTGGTTCTCATGATTCTTCTGAGGCTTATAAACATCTGGGTGATGTGGCTGTGCTGCATTTTTTTTAATTCCTCTTCAACCCAAATCCAGGAAAACCTCGAAGCACTGCACGCAAGCGTAGTATTTTGTGATCCCCATGCAGCAAATAGCACTTTGGAGGCAATCCAGAAATGTTGGATGCTTAGTCTACAGAAAACGGTCAATTTTAAAGATTCCTCTGTTCAGTATGGTCATAGGCAAGGGAGTGCTGTCACTCTTAGTAGCACACTGGAGGTCTTGACTTAAGAGTTAGGCTCGCGGTGATCTCAGATTTAAAATGGAATTTCTTGCTTTGGTTCAGTTTTCTCCACCTCAGTTTTTTCATCTGAAAAATGAACCTTATAGATCTTTAGATCTGTATCTTATAGAACTGGTAAAGTCCACTGACATCTGTAGCCAGAATATACTGAAAAATGAAAATTACGTTTTTGTTACGGAGATGTGTACAGTTAAGCTGTTTGCAGGAGATATTGCAAAATAGTTTAGGCCAAAGATTTATCATTCACATCAAATACGTTTTAGGAAAAGACGTTATTCTTTCACTTTCAGTGAAACCAAATATTCCCGTACAGTGCTATGAAGTAAAGCTCAACAGAACGGAACTACAATTGCTCAGAATCAGTCAGTGAAACTGATTGTTATTGGAAAGTGAAATTAGCTGGTTGGCTTTCACTGCCCAAACTGAATGAAATTCAAGGGTAAATGCCATTAGCAAAAAGTGGGAACTCCTTCTATATGATTCCATTCAGTTCGGATGTTTAAGAAAGCTGTAGTCAAAGAAATAATGAATGTCCTCATTTTGCTTGTTCTTCTCTGGATGGATCAAATCGTCTTTTGGCGTATGTTGTGGTTAGTATACCAGCAGTAAAATTTAGACGCACACACACTTAAAAGTTTGGTTTCTACATAGAGCACACCTAGTATAAGTTTTTATAGCGTGTAAAAGTAACGCATTTAGCACTGTGTAATGACTAAGTAAGTGTTGCCTCTGCACTGATGGAAATATTTGATACTGCAGTGTATTAGGAGCATTCATAGACTGTTGTTGGGAAATGTGATTTCTAGAATAAGAAAATCACTCGGGCTAAGACGTAATATTTACTGGGTTTTCATGATTACTTTTTATTGTGATTCTCTAAATGAAGTCTATAAAATATAACATTTGGACTCAGATGAGAATATTTTGGGTTGTTTCACAATGCAAGTTAGTTAAATCTTGAGCTCTATTTTCATATAACTATGTGCGACCTTCCGTGAGAATACACATCCCCTTTCTCTGCTCTATGCTAGGTTCAGACAAAACTCCTTCCATAGCTGAATCCCTTGTCAAATTGTGGATGCATGATAGGAGAAGATCTAGTATAGCTGGAGAGGGGAGAATGGGAATATCAGGCACTGAACTATGACTGCAGCCCTCTCGGCAGCACGACAGGAAAGGGGTAGGTTAGTGGTGAAGCAGCTTGAAAACAAAACTCCGTAAGTGACTTCAGCAGTGCCAAACTATTTGGTGTGAAAATATGTGATTTTGAACGAGATATACCAAGTGTACTGGATATTTTGCATTTTAGCATTTGGGATGAAACAAATGTTAAAATCTGAGGATTTCACATGGGATGGACGTAATGCACTGGTTGGAGCTCTCAGTGTCTACAGATAGATTTGATGATACACACATTAAAAAACACAGGTGTCTCTGTATGTGTGTGTATGATATAAACACATGTACATCTGTTCAATTCATTTTCTCATCACTGCTGATATTTTCTCATAGACTCTCCCTAAAATCCTGGATAAAGTGGCCCCTGCATTTGTCATGAACAGCTGCAGCTTCCTGGTGGAGAAGTCCCGGGAGTCGACGGCCCGGGTGGTGGTATGGAAGGAAATGGGTGTGTTGAGGAGCTACACTATGGAGAGCACGTACTGCGGCTGCAGCCACGGACTCTACAAAGTGAGTAAATCTTTCAAAGAGCCCTGTGCCACCCTCCTCCTAATGCACATCTTGTGAGCTTGGAAGGGCAAAGAGGAGATAGCCATTGTCTTGATGCTTAGCATTGTCTGCTCTCTCCAGACCCATGTAGCCATGCTTCTGAGTTTTTCCTCAGTGAAATGTTTCCATGATCCCTCACTCTTTTACCTTCCATGCCAGGAAAGTAGAGTCCTTGCTCTGAGGTTTCATTCAACAGTGAAATAAAAAGAAACTCCAATCTGGAACCAAAAGCATTGAGCTGAAGGAAGGAGTGTTTCTGAGATGATACAGGGCACTTATCTTTATAAGGGCATTCACAGTGTTGTAAAAAATGTGTTGGCAGGTCATATGGGCACCTTTGTGCCTAGTTCTATGGTAATTAACTCAAAAACCAGTGGCACCAAGCTTTTTGGTACAGGCTAGCTACCTGAGCATTCACCTGGCTAAATTTAAGAGCCTGCAGTGAGAATCCTGCATTTGGAGTTGCCTGTTACTGACAGCCAAAGGTAGCTAATCTAAGGCTAGTTTTGACAGCTTTCCACGAGCTCAGGGTACGCCTGTGGCTGTGATCTAGGCAGACCTGAATTCCACATCAAACGAGGTTCCAGTCTCGGTAGAAAGGGCTGTACTCATACGGAATGCGTAAGAGACATCAGTCTGAGATCTCCTGGCAGTTTTTAAGTACACAGGATGAACTCTGGTAATTGCATTTGAGTGATCATAATTCTCCATTCAATCAAATGGTGAATTCTTTCTCTTGTTCCTTTCCCAGACCTGTTGCTTTCATTGAAAGGCTTCCATGTTTCATCTCATTTCTCCCACTAGGGAGCAATCCTTATCTATACAGCATTAATAAGCAGTTAAGGATCCTAAGGATCTTTTCCCTTAAGGAAAGAGCCATTATTACAAATAACAATTAATTAATAAGGCATTCAAATGATTATCTCTGGAAGCTCTATACTAATCCTTTTACTTCTCTATAGAATGTAGCCAGGAAGTACTCAGCTGCTGTTTTAACCATGCTCTACTCTACACACATCAATTCCAAGACAGGAAAGGCAGAAGAAAAAAACGGCAGACAGTTTAAAGAAAGAGAATATAATTGCCCTGGGCATTACATCTAACACTCCCTACTCCTGAGAAGTGCTAATGGTTTTTTAATAGGCACCACAGGTCAAGACAGTGTTTTTGAATTTGTGGTGGGGGGTGGGTGGGGGGATCGACCTCGACTGAAGTCAATGACAAAACTCCCAGTGATCTCCGTAGAGGAGGATTTCGCTCATTTCCTAGATAACTGCAGTAAGACCTAAAACCAGTGACACATCGGATTGTATCAATATCTAATGATTTGTTCTCCTTCTCCTTCAGCATCTATGAGGTCTTTAACCTAAATTTGCTTAATTTGTTCCATTAGATGCTTGAAATAGTAAGTAGGAAGAGAACATTAAATGCTACATTCAGATGTTGCATTTAAGCACTGTGCCGTCCACAGGGGCCCTGTATTATATAGTAGAGGCACCAAAAATAAGCGGAAAGACCTAATGCAGATGGTTCAGGATTCTTTTTTTAAAGAAAGCCTTTAAAATGTGTGAAATTATTTTCTATGTTCTTTCTTGTCCTCTTTTTCATCGCTGAGCAGGACCTCAGGCAGCCACTGAGGACAAGAGCAAGTTGACATATGAGGGCTTGTCACTGGTGACAGAATCCAATGTTCTCATGGCCCATAAGGAAGTCCGTAAGCTGTAAAGCAGCTCTGAAATTTCCATTCTGAACACCCTGAAAGTCTGAGTCCAGGTTGGATCATTGGGTTATTTTTATGAGGTCATGTATCCTTCCCCCCACACACACACTTTGTTTAGGATTATCGTTCATCTCAAAGATGGAGGATACATAAATATTCCCATGAGGGGGCATTTCTTCATCATAAGGATAATACAAACACTTTTGCAGTTTCTCTGATTCAGGCAGCTTTACAGTATTTCCACTCATTTTTTTCCAAGTATGCTAAGTACCCAACTTGTTAGTATCAAAATGGAATATAATTTCTTATGTTGACAGAAAAATGAATATATTTCTTATGCTGGAGCTGCATATAAATACATAAACTATCTCTTTCAAATAATTAATATTAATAAGCTATTTCTTCTTCCTTTTAGTGGTCTTTAGAGTTGGTTCTTGCTTGCTTGTTAGCTTGTTCTTGCAAGTGGATTATTTAGGGTATGGACTTCACAGGCTGACCCAAAGATTTCATTACATAATACCATTTAATACTCAGCTTCCATCTATCAAGCCAAAACTACTTCATTAGTATCTGGAAGCCCTAAAATTATTCCTGTGAACTGGCAATTAATCACATAAGAGGTCACGTTTTTCTAGAGACTTCAACCTGAGTTCTTCACTCTTGGACCCTCAAGTTGATGTGTTTGTAAACAATAGACTGAGACTAGTGCTCAGACAGGAGATGTCAACATCCTATATTTAGAGCTTTCTGATATAGTAGATTTGTGTTTATCTGTGAATAGAATCCGTTTCTTAATTGCATAGTTTCCTAATTGAACTCCCTGTAGGGATATATCCAGGATCTCCCCTGGACGAGAATGCCCTTTATGTTTTTGGTGCTTTTAGACTTTGAAGTACAGTACAAACAGCAGCTAGGATTTAAAACATCTCATTATATGCAGCAGAGGCTCCCAAGTCCAGCATCATTCAGTGAATCAGTGGTCAATCTTCTAATAGAGTGCAGCAGACCTGGATCCTGGTCTTTAGCTTTCTTCCTGCTTGTAAGTGATGAAAGTCATTCACGTGGCTGCTTTGCTTGCTATGAGCACAGATACAGTGCTTGGAGTTGCACAGAGACACCTCATAGGGATTATGCAAAGGATTTAGGAAAAGCAAGAATGCCTTACAGAGTCTGCAAGAGGTTAAAATATTAATTGCACAAGGCTGGTAAATGTGCCCCCTCCCACTACAAAGCAATGTTGAGGAAGGGCTGACATAAACCAGAACGTGGCTTTTCTGATAGAGTCCAGAAAAGATGCTGCTAGAGTTTTCCAAGGAACTTGTGTGGCCTCTCTTGAATTGAAATGTAGCCTTCATTTTTAAAATAGTTTAGTGAGTGAAAGATAAGCAGGAATTTGGTACTATTGATATGTAAATGAGAAAGAATAGTGACCCCAGCCTCGTTTAAAAGTCATTTGATTTCAAATGGAGAGGAGGGGGAAATGAGAGGAGAAAAGACATGGTTTGTCTCTGTTGAATATCCCTGTCTGTGTGATCAATGGAAACACAATAAGCCAACTACCCTTAAGGAAGTGAAACATAAAACTAAAGAAACTATTGATCTTATCTAAGGTTTTGTTCAACTAAGGAAGAAGAAAAGAAGGGTGAAAAAATCCAAATTCTTTTTATTTTGTCTAGTTTGCCCAATTCAGTTTTAGAGGAGCAGTGTCTCCATTTGAAAGTTGCTAATAACAAAGCAGCCAATTTCTGCAGGGAATTCTCCCTCCTGCTTCTGCCAGTTTACAGGCCTATGGTCAAAACAGAAAACAATTAACAACAACAAAAAAAAAACCCAAAACACCCCCCCCAAACACACCCCCCCCCCAAAAAAAACCCAAACAAACCATGAAACTGCTTATGGTTTCTTTTCTCGTGTGAAGGCAGTCTGCATTGCTCCCTTGTTGGAGCTCTTACCCCTCCAGCTCACCATGTGATTTTTATTGCTGCCTCCCTTTTGTGGGTTGTAGAGCCCCTTCTCATCTTTGGTTTTTAAAAGACTGAACGCAAGGCTGTTCCGTAAGATGTTCTACTGAGTACAGGTACAATCATGGCCCCAAAAGAATCAAATCTCCAGTGACATGTATTGACATTTTCCTGAGGTTCTTGTGTGATTAAATTTTAAACTTCCATATCTCTCTGCTGTAACCATGTTCTATCACGTTATTACACTGTTTCACCATTCTTCTTGATTCCTTGTTACCTGGCCTACTAATTAAGAGCCTTCTATAGCGTATTGCACTGTGCTGTTCCATTCATTACTGCATCTATCATCCTACAAGTTAATATCTTTTGTGCCATGGTATACAGCTGAGTTCCAAACCATATGTCTTGGTAATAGAACGAATCTCAAAAATTAAGCTTCCTGCTCTGTGAGTACATGCTATGTTGGAAAAGCATTTTCCTTGGCTTGTTGTGCCTGGTGGAGGAGATGTAGTACTAACAGAAATAGATTTTTAGCTTCTTGCTTCAAAGGGATTACAAACAACAAGGAGTAACAAATGAGTTTTAAAATTATTGCAGCTATCTTGACAGTGCCCTTTGAAGGAGATTTTACCAGTGATATGGATCCCTCTTTGAAGAAAGCCTTTGGGAGAGCTGAGAAAAAAGATTTTTTCTTCTGTCCAGTCTAATGCTTCTAAGTCAGAGGAATTGAATACCCCAAATTTTCTCATCGGACTTGATTAGAGGGAAAAGCCATCCCTTTGCAGAGACACTGGAAGCAGAGACATCAGCACCAAGAAGTGTGGCTATACAGTTCATGAGACTTTCTCAATAGTTGTTCAGAATGTCTTTGAAGAAAAGTGGTGAGAATTACTCTAACTGGAAGATCTGATATTATCCATCCCCTTTAACCTGGCTAGCATGGGCTGAATTATTTAAAATGAGTGATGAACCGCTGATTTACCATGGAAGTGTGGCTGAACTAAAGCAATATGCCAAGATGAAAGCCTTTCCTCTTTCTACTCCTTCAGAGGTAGACTTCTCTGGTTTGACCTGTTTCTGCCCAAATTAGCCTAACTGTTACCAATGTATGATTTGTCCATTGAATGACAGCACTTCATAGTTATCTGTGGGCAATGAAATATTTACTTCATCTTCCTTACTATTGAAGATTACTTATCAAATTTCTGAGAGGAATTTTTATGTATGCTTTATTCAGAAGCAGTTTATTAGAGTTAATAGTGAGAAATTGAGTTGTTTTG